TTGGGAAGGTGTCCTTGTCGAAAGTTTCTCCCCCAGGAAACACTTGAAAAGGTCACTGTCTTTTTCATTCCTGCGGGGCGTCTCGTACAGGGCCTGGAACAATTCGTCCTCCACGTCATGGTCTTTGTCGTCTCCCTCACTGCTAATGCTGCTCTCAGTCTCGTGCACGGACTTCTCCACCAATCTGTACAGCTGGTCGGTGGCCTTTTTCCTGACTTGAAAATTCAAATCTGTAGAAAGCTGCGCAGGTGCGCGGGGGCAGCAAAATGTTTCCTGGTCGTCTTTATAACAAGATAATTGAAAATTAAACTTGGAAAAATAAAAAATATTTGAAGTCGATGAACAAATTGACGCTTGACGCTCCACTCGGGTGAAAAGTTGACTGCGTCACCTGTAGCGTCGCCTGCCCTAAAAATTTATGGCATCAGCGTTAACAAAAAGTTGCCGCCGTCCATTGACGACGTTAAATTAACGGCGTCAACATACAACACTGCCTATATATAGCTGTGCCAAATTTCAAGATGATCATAAAGAGGGATTCCTGAAACTCAGATTCTAATAAAAAAATCAGACTGAGATTCTATGAATAATTTTTAATGACTATTCCAAAAAATTCTTGATCATACAGGGAGTTAATTCTAATTATGGTTGTTTGAAAACAAGTTAAAGAAGGAAGAACAATTACTGTAGTTGACAAAGAACACAGACATATCTCATCTAGATGGGTTAATAAGTACTGGAGTTAAAAGAAAAATAATTGGTGAAGAGTTGGTAACAGAAACTAATACTGTACACAGTTTAATGAATTACCTGTTTGCTGGTGGATAGTGAATTCTCATGTTGTGTTGACTGCACTCACTTCGGAAACGTTTATCCAAAAGAATGCTGAAACATATACAAGGACACATCAGAAGTTGCAAAGTACTCAGGGAATTTCAGATGAAGATATTCTGGTACAGTACCTTAATTTTCATAATGTACACTAATGTTTACTGCATTAACCCTTAAAAATATATTCAATATTTTTGCTATATAAAGTATAAGATTTAAAATAATAAAACAGAGTAAATAATTACTGTATATGCATTTACTGTTCGTATATTTCTATTACAGTACAGTACTATATTCAGTTAAATGAACTGCTCAAATATCATACCCCATCTTATGACACAGGGAAGAGTAACCTTTGAGATCCATATCAGGAAAAAACCTCTAGTTTACCCTGCCTACACCAAAGGTCATTACATATTTCGTGACAGCACTTACTGCCATTGGGATCAATGCTTCAATTACACTTCATCCAGTGGGTCAGTGTTAGCAAGTACGAGGCATATACAGGCTCTAGACCATACCAAAACATGTGCCAGTGTTGGTCAAGTCTGCTCTTAAAGGAGCTCACACTCAGTGCTGCCACAACACTCTGCCACAACTCTTAGGCCCGAATTCAGAACGCTGGTTTGAAACCGCATGAAGGTTTAAACCAAAGATTGAGCTAAGATTGAAGATTGTTGGTATTCAGGACGCTAGCTTCAGCCAATATAAAATTTCAAACTGGGTTTGAGATCGGATTTGTTGATCCTCACGTTAATCCAGCCTGGAGGCAGGTTTGGCGGTCGATCCTTCAAGGAAGTCAACATGAATTTGACACAAGAGGTAAAAATTTTAGTACATAGTACATTTTAATAATGTAAAAAATTTTCAACTGTATTTTTCGGTAGATTTACATAAAATTTCTAGGTGTCTCTTTTTCTTCTCGGCACCACGAGAACTCTCACTTTTACGCTTGCCAGCCACTTTAAAGGGAATTACAAACAAAAGTTTGTCAGTACACAGTGCAATCACTAACATTGGAACTCGAAAATAAGTAATTTGAAATTTTTTTTTGTATGACTGCGGCGGTCATATGTCCGGGTGGTCGTAAGTCGAATAGGTCGTAAGTCGAGGAGTACCTGTATAATGGGATAAAATGCTAAATGAGCATTTTTCTCATTTTTTTCTGGTTCCTTTTCTAGAATAATTGTGGAATGAAATTTGAGAAAACGTATTGTAAGTCGTATCAAGTTTCCTATTCTCTATTCGCATTACAGTATTATCTGTATATCACAACAGTAATTTCTACACACCACCATAATCACTCCTACATCACCTCAATTCTCACCCCTCTCACCACAACAATAATTGTACTACACACCACCACCACCATTTGATCCTCCCACACCAATTTAATCCTTACGCCCCGGGTGACGTACTAAGACGCCCAACTAGTGCAGGTGACGTTCCAGAATGTGCACCTTTCTCCATCACTGTTTAAAGGCCCAGTGTGGGTTATCAAGTTCCAGTGTGACTATTTCTCTGTTACGCCACACGCTCAGCCACAGGGAAGCTTCCTGAACATAATTACCTACTTTTGTTTGTTTCATTTTCATTGTTTGTCCATTTTATCATGTTGTATCAAAGTAATATTGCTAAAAGTAGTGTAGTATTACTGGAAAATAATGCTATGATTATGTTATAAATGTACAGGTATTTATTTGTGGAATTATTATTATTTTATGCATTATTTGCTCTACCAAACACAAAGACAGCCTGGAGACTGACTGCGTGTGCGTTGCTGAGCACATTTTATGAAATATAATGCAAATAAATGATTTTAAATTAATTAATTATAGCAAATAAGTATCAAGATCAGTAAATATATTAATTACTGGCCATCCCGGACACAAAGGCAAGCAGAAAATGGCCACTAAGTACGTAGTGACCACGAGCGTCAGCTGTCAAAACAACACTGTCCCTTATATCCCTCCCACCTCCCTCCCCCAGTGCTGCCAGGGACGTTTCTAGAGGGTCAATATATACTTTTTCTTACTTATTTTTTTATTGTTTTATCACTTAAAAAGGTTAAAAATAAAGAAAAGTTTTGATTTTTCTCGATTTACCCCAGCGTGGGGGGTACAGACAGCGGCACCCTAGCCGGGGCTTAAGGGTTAATACACATGAAAACAAAATCTCAGTTGTAAGATAACTACTGGGATATCAGAGCATTCCACCAATACCAGAGAGCAGTATTTCATAAGGAATGATCTGATTGAACAGTGACACAGCCTCAAGAACCCAAAGAGTCCCTGAGACAAGTCAAGCTCTGTCAAAGGGTGTTCTATTTGGGTAATTATAATACTTGCTGACTGACCCACTGGCCAACAAAAACTTAACACAAGTTATATGGTACATCAAACAATCTTAAAAACAAACCTGCCAGCAAGATGTTTATAATAGGCAAAAACTTGCTCGGACAACTTGAACACAAACTGATCAAAACACAGGTTAACCTCTGCCTCGATCTCATCATACAGAAACTGCTTCCGGAAGTTAGTCAGAGCATAATAGGCACTGTCATTATATAAATCTAGTGGATACAGGACACATCTGGAATAAAAATTCAAAATGTTAGATTCTGTTAAGACATTTCTTTAAAAACATAGGCCTTCATTATCTGGCACTTTACTAACACACTTTAGTAACCAGATTTTCTTAGTTTTAAGTGTACAGGTCTCCCTCCACAATCTCAGGGGGATAGTTCCTTGGCAAGACCATGGCTGAAGAATCTGTGATTGGGCAACCCATTAAAACATGTTGGAATAGGAGGGTATATGTTCCTGGACCAAAACATGCCTGAATGGATATGGCAATGTCCAATGAACAATATACAGTATCCTCTATCTAAGGCATGGAAAGTGAAATCCTTATTGAATACAAAACCAAAGTAAATGCACTATACCCATAGCCTAATGAAAAATTCAACCCTAAAATACAAAAGAGAAGTTTTATAAACTTATATCAGAAACAACAGTCTGAACATCAGTGACTCTAAGTAACAAGCAACCAGAATGGTGCATCTGCTCAGTTACTGTAAGTGCTTTTGTTGGTGGTGTCATTTATAATAATAATATCTATAACACAGTAAGGTCCTGCTGAACAAATAACTAATATTAAATGGTATAAACAGTGCCAAACTGCTGACAGATGACACAGTATACAAGGCCACTTGGTATTATATGAGCAGTATTCATGACTATTACATCTTTTTCCTGAAACTTTTATGTTTTAATGGATAGCATTGTGCTTCATATGTGCTTAATTGAGCAACACAAATGTTGTATATGATGCCATGATATGTCTTAATGAATCGTTTCCTTATTTCTTTTGTTAAACATTTTCATAATTGTTTGTCTTATTTTGGTTGAAAATTGTAAAATACAACATGAATTGGAAGACACCATGCCAGTATTTCTTATTACAGTACCTTGATGTGTCACCCCCAACCCTATATCACTTTCACCGACTGCTTCCACCTCTATGGCCCTTTATGTCAGTTCTATTACACCAACAAGTATATAACTCTTCAAGACTACTGCACAATTGTTCCTTTGTGAGCGCAGACAAAGAATATATTTGGTTAAAAATATAAATTGTTGTAATTACTTTTCACTTATGTATTTAGTGATGTACTGTATATAGGGAAATTCTCAAATACAGTATGTGCAGTTGTGTTAGTACAATAAATGCACAAAGTTCTCTACCTCTGCCTCTGTATCACATTGTGTAGACTTATGTGCATAAAATTACACAAATAAGTACAGCTGTTTCACTCTTACCTCACTATTATTACCTCAACCTCTTTCAAGTGCTGTAGTTAGGAAACTATGCAGAATCTGACATTTAATCATAATGACATTATGCTTTAGGAGTGTCCCAGAAATACGCTCAGCAATTTACTGCACTCATTTTAGAATCACCCTGTATATATTTCTAATTAATTATTTAACTCAGAAATCTGGAGAAAAAAATTCAAAGGGGTTAGGTATGGAGCATTCCAGATTCTTGAGGTTGCACAGTGCTGTATTAGTTATAATATGAAGTGCAACTTACTCCATCATTGATGCATCCTTTGAGCGGAGAATGTGGTCAGTCAAGATCCATGGCATGGACATCTCAATGGGAAACTGTAAGGAAAATATTAACCTTATATAAAATGATGTAAAGTACAGTACTCTATGTGTGCATCAGTACTAATACTCTGCATAACCTTCTGTTACACTGTAATCGTAACTCAACCAAGAAAGATATTAATAGAAAGCCTTTATTACACTGCTGTTTTCCACCTTTAATCACATGATGTAAATGTAAGTGATGGGCACAGGTATTTCATAATTAAATTCAAACCACTCTTGGACCACGGGAAGTTGTTGTTATACAAAATGTTTTATCCAGATACTCCAATTACTGTACAGTGCAATATATTAAGAGTATAACTGATAAGCTGTTAGTAATACTGTATAGTTCAAATGATTCGGTGCATGAATATGTTGCCCATCACCATCTACAGGTCATGGTATGGATATACAACAGGGAAAGTCAGTGGCTTTATAGCCTGATATTTACAGTGGCATTAAATGTTGTCATCAACTAGTCAGTAGGGTTTAATAAACAGTAAACTTCCCATTACTAAAGTCATCAGGTATATGATTAATGAAAATTACTTTATATGAAGCACCACTAGATTTTCAATGAGCAAGCTTAAAGAAAATAAGCAGATGCAGTATAGGTACATAGCAATAAAAAATATGCTATATTGTGCACTGCATAAGGGTCAGTAATTCTCTGCTTACATAAAAAGCAGGAATATAGTTGAGGAACATTAAAGAATATGATCAAAGCATATATCATGCCTTTATATACTGTACAACACCATTTAAGCCATAAACAAAACCAAATTCCAGAAAATGATTACACCATTGATTTTGAGTTTTAATTCTTCATGTGATCATATTTAACTGTGTGAAGTCATCAGTTCTGTCTCAATATCACATATTAATAATGCCTAAGACATATAGATCTGTACTAAATTTATTACACACTTTTCCACAAATAAATTAAAGTCATATAAGAGGCGAGTCAATTAACAAGCTGCATGTTAACAATGCACAAAGTATATATTAGTAATACTGTAGTGTAAGAATTGTATATGTACAGTACTGCACTTACTCCCTGCACAGTACAGTATACTGTATATTAAGTGTTAATAAGTATATAAAGCAGCAGGGTCAATTCAGTGTAGAATAAAAACAAACACAACAATCAAACTTGGGAAAATATCTGGACCTGGACACTGAACTTTGTGCTCTACAGTGCTCACCAATGATAAACTGAACAAGCAATGTAGCTCCTGCATTTTCTATTTAAAATCCTCATTTGGATAGAACAAAACCTCTGATGGTTTAACTAATCCGTTTCCCAAAATTTAATTATATTAAATTCTTTGAATATATCTCTGTATGCACCTGCCATCATGTTAAGTCAACCGTGACCCATTTCAAATGGTACTTCAGCCAAACTAAACCTCCAAAATTAATATTCAGAACATTAACCTATACAACGATACATTAACTACAGCTTAGAGCTCAAGTCCAAAATATTAAATAATTCGGTAGGTCGAGATGTAAAAAAAATTTTAATACCTTATATGATGGAATTTTGTGTCCACATCTATTATAAACTGTGTACAGTACATATTTCACATGAAACTTTTACATAAAAGTTCATCAATTGTATGATTAATTCCTTACTGTCCCTTCCAAATCTTCTATAATGTTCACTTTGGTTTAGTTAAGAAGATCAACAATACAGTACACTATTAGAGTAGTGTAATATAATTGTATTTATCATTAACCAACTTTAAAAGCCCAAATTCTCTAACAATTGCTCCACCTAAATTATTTTTTTCTTACATCATAGATGGACTGTTGATGATGTGTGACCTTCCTTCACCTATTAGAAGTGCAGGATTGTTCCTGAAATTTCTTTTTATAACTACTAGGTAATCTTGTGATCTGATAATTCAAATAAAGCATCAACCATGAATTTAGCAAAGCTGGGATTCATCATACAATCAGACTTTCCCATCATAAACGAAGCCTTAAAATGGCCACAAATTAGGTGAAGGTTTCCCTTATGAATAATAGAGGGATAGAGGCTAGTGATTCATCAACATCACACTGTCATATGACATACAAAGTCAAACAGGTCAGCCATACTGGATGGGTTCCAGGACTATCATTCAGTTCCACTGGGAAGTTGTCCAGAGTCACCAAGCTATGAGATTTCTTATAAAAATGGGAAAAGGTGATAGAAAAGAAGCCAAGTATTAGTACAGTATGACTCAACACCCCAAACAGGAAGTAAACCACCAAACAGAAAAGTGGGTAGGGTAACAATAAAAACCCTTACAAGCTCCCCTATGCAGTACTGTTCAATCCTGTAAAGCTGCATAGTACTGAGTACTGGCTTAAATTGTCAGTGCTGATGCCCAACTCCCCTTAGGCAGAAGTAGTTATAAGGACATCCCAAATAAAAAGAATACGGTTCCTAGAATGAAATGTTCTTGGAAAATGGGGTGGACAAGTCAGCTATACAGTATGATCATGAAGAGGAAGAAACCCTCTATTATCTCCTCATTTGTTCAACAGCTGCCCACAGAGGAAAGTTGAACTAAGTGATCTACAACTAACCCTCAGAAACAAAACTTGTTAGCATGATATACACAATTCCACAATTGGAAATGAATAAAGGCAAACCTAAGAAGTGAAAAAGGCAACACATTCAAGGAATATACTAAAGATAAAAATATTGTCCCTGTTCCTAGCGTGAAACTCTGAAAATCTTTCAGTCTGATGCAAATGCAATGGGAAAATAAACTTACCAAGGCCATTCAAAGCCCTTCATACAAAATTCCCGCTAAGCTAAATAACTTTAACATACTGAAACTGAAGACCATGCTACACAAAATGGCCCCAAGAGTGTTCATGAACAAAAAACCCCAACAGATCAACACACAATCTCAAGAGGGATCAAAAGTAAATGTAACTCACAAAGTCCATTCAACAACCCTTTAAAAAACAGCTAAACAATTTGAAGACAACTGAATAGTATCTGAAAATCAGAAAACATTAAGGCCTAAAAAGACAACTGGGAAACCAATCCATAAGAATATTTTGAGAAAGATTCCAAACACACACACACTTCCCACAGGTGATGCTCCTAAGAGATTGCCAGGAAACTAGAATTGGTGGGAATTCTTGAGTGGAAAAACTTCTCGAAAAGATTTTAACAAGACGACACAGCATAGAGCTGCCATCAGGCCTACCATATATAACATGGATGTTAGCACTCAAAATAAAAATGCTGTATAACCACAATATCAACAGACAGTACCTAAGCCAAAAAAGAAAGAAAAAAAATTCTAGCCAAAACACAACAGCACTAATGTTGTCCCAAACATGGAATACTGACCTATACCACATGACTTCACAAGATTAATGCTGTTAACTCGCCTAAAAACTATAAGAAAGACAGTATGAATGGTCCAATTCTCCCAAGTCATATGCAAACTCAGAATGTACACAAGAACTTGTAAATGAACACAAATCTCTGGTTATGACCACTGAGGGAAATTGAACTAATATCTACATTCCTCTTTTAAATCTCCAGAGTCCTACCTGAGTAATGGATTCTTGGAGCAAGGCCACAGCTAATATGTAGTTGGAGGCTGTTGCCCAGTTCTAAAAAAAAGTGAGTCAAAAGACTAATCTCCTGTCACTGAACAGTCCGATCCAGACTTCACCAGCCATTAGGTCCCTGAAGGATTCCAGTTTGTTCCACCACAGAACATAATCCACAAATTAAGCCCGTTTATGGATAGGACTAGTGAGACTACTACATGTAGTTCTGAACCACCACCAAAGTGGGGTATTCAGTGGAGCCTTCAACCAGCATCCAAACAGTGTATCCTGAAACTTCTTTCTCAGACTTCACAAGATCATCCCCTGACTCAGGACCACACCCCCAAAACTGACATTATATATTGTCCAAAATGCCAGAGTATCTTCTTCCCTCAAAACTGGAACACCAATTGCAACATGAAATGACAAAGGCTAAAAGTCTGTGTACTGATGTTAACAGTACTGCAGGGCAATCACCCAACACTTATCAATGTGCAGGTAATAAGATGGAAAAGACACTAAGCTGCAACAGGAGATTAGGTGCAGCATGTAGCAATAGTGCAGGATGGTAATGCAGCTAGAAGTGAATGGTGATCCTCGACACCATCAAAGTTGGCTAACATGTTTAGCATGGTGAGCCACTAAACAGTGTGATGTCACAACCCAGAAGCCTCCAGCACCCCTATTACCCATGACAAAAACCTCCACTTGATATGTGACCTTCTAAAGCCTTGCTTGCAATAGGGAGATATAGTGGTAGGAAGATCAATCCCAGCTACACCAATGTTTGGATTCTACATCACAAAACTGCCTCAGCACTTTCTGGAAATAGTATAATAGCATCCACATACTCTTTACTTTTAATTTATTGTTTCCTACTTTTTCCTTTGAAAAATTATTTTCAGACAATATTACAAGAACTTAAATTGTTGACTAAAGTATATGCACATTAAGCTGCTATAGCAGTGTGGCTCTTCATGTGACAATACATAAAAATATAATTCATGGATATCAATCTATTGTTGCATCAATCATACTCCATTCTCATCTACATGGAGTGAAGACAGGTGCATCAAGTCTCAAAAAGTGGAAAATACTGTACCGTAATTACAAAAATACTAAGACTTTGCTAAATCTATATACCCATCTACCAAACTTACTACTGTACTGTACATTCCTACCTACATGGTGTGAAAGGTGCACTAAACATCATTTGAAGACAGTAATAGCAATAACAAATAATACAAACTTAACAGTAATAGTAGTAATTATAACTTGCATACAAATGGAAGCTTGTAACATGAAACATCAATCTTAACTGAAGACAGAAGATGAGTGACCTGTTAAATACCTTAACTATGACCCCATGTCAGTGCCTGCCATGGTCAGAGAGACTGACATCTTCTAAGGGAAGGAAACACTGCCAGCTGATAAGCATAAAAGTG